CCAAATTAACATCCTAGTATGAGATCAGGAATCAGAGGACTCACAAGCATATGCCTTTTTTTTTAATAGAAAATGTGTTACCATTCATAAAGCACCAAGGGAGTGCAACCCATATGCAAAAATTACAAGTTTAACAAAGCATCAATTAAGGTTCCAAAATCCTCACTTGAATATAGAGGTTGACCTTTAATTAAGATATTTAGGGCCTGAAGCCAAGATTTTTCTTAGTACTATTAGAGCTGTCATGTATTCCCTCAACAGCCCTTTTATTTCTCTTTTTCTAAATGACCCAGAAAGTAACCAAAAAGATAAATTTAATGGTCTGCTTATCTCTTGGGATGCATTCCACGCTCAAAGCTCCTCCCTGATTATGCCTGCAATAACCCAATTCGGACCCAGAAACCTATAAACCAGAGACCATAAGCGATGTGCCAGTGAACACAAAAGAAGGATATGATTGCATGCGTTTGCCCCGCCTTTTGCACAAGTAACACGTGTTCATCAAAATTTTACCTCTTTTGATCAACTTGTCAAGGGTAAGGACACGTCCTTGAGCTGCTTCCCAAAAAAAAAAAAAAAAACCACCCCACGAGCTAATTTCACCTTCCAGACCAATTCCAATCTCCAAGGATGGTTCATCCTTGTTTTCCTCAGAGATCTCTACCTTACGAATGCCCTGAGCAGCGCCGCATACTCCTCCACCCAATCATTCAAATTTTGGTTCAGATCAACAGCCCAAATACCCCACATGCACATGCCTTAAAAAGAGAAAGGAGTTCAAAGAGACAGATGACTTGTAAATCTACTGGCTCCTTCAAGTGCAAGTAACAAGGGGTTGCAAGCTAAAAAAGTTAACCAACAGCATTGGAATTCCACTTTTTAAGTGGAGCTGCTCAAAGCACTTTTACATTCTTTGCATCCACAATATCAATCATTACCAAGTCACGAATTGACCATACAGCCTACAGTCACCTAAATCACCTAAACTGTTACCTCTTGAGTTCCATAATTTGTCAGTCAGAAATGCCTCCACTAGCTGGCAGAATCACGTTCTGAAGAAAGCAAAGATACGCTTTCCAAGTGTGAATAATCACTTTCAACCAAACCATTAAACTGAAAACCCTAGACACTTTGAAGTTCTCAGCCTTTATTAGATGCAAAAATCACCATAACTTCGTGACAGAAAGTTAAGATAGTTTGAAGGTTCTTAGCATGTCTCCTTCTTTTACACAATATGCTTTAGTTAACGTTCGTAAGTTTCATATAACTGTATGTAAGAAAGAATTATGACTACTCAAGAAGCTAGTCATTGATAAACATTATACAATAATCATAAAAAACGCAAAGGTGAATATTACCAGCTGGTTCATTTGCAATATCCTCATATGAAGCATCCATTGCACACTTAATCAAGTGAGTTTGTCGTGTCCCATGTCTCTGAATAAAAATAATCCGGTGCTTTCTGTACCTTTGCAATTGAGAAAAAGAACCATTAATCAAATGAACACTCCTCGGAGTTTAATGGTTAATAAGATTGACATAATACCTTTCAAGGTGGACAAACTCAGCCTTTTCTCTTTTTTTCCCAAGACTTGAAGAAGCTGAAAACTGCTTGCGCAATGACCCTTGAACATTTATAGGCATCCGGAAGCAACATCTTGATGGACTACCAATCAGTCCAGACGCAGTCATCTCAGTAGCTAGTGTCCAACACTTTGAACTTACTGCCTAGGGTAACAAATTGAAGGTTGAAAGAAAAGATAATTAGATAAAATTGGACCTACCGGCTTAAGAACATAGCAATCCTCATTATCTGGAGAAAGAAATTTAAATAAAAGATAAGCCAACCATCCTAAACATCAAGACCCGATTGTGAATTTGCAAGGATAATGGTCTCCCCATGACCCCATTCTTCGTCGATAACGTCCATTGCTTTATTTGAAATATTAGTTAAGACTAGTCCTATGGCCAATAGCACTTCAAGTCAATGTGTCACAATGCCAAGTAAAATTATCATGGGATAGACAAATGAATTTTACCCACCCGATATATCACCCCAGAATACTTAAACAATCAAAAGAAGAGCTAGAGATCACACAATCAAACATATGTACAGCACAGGTTAGAAACTTGAACAAACCGCGATGAAGCTGAGAAAGACCATAATAAAAAAGTTGCTCGGGTAATTAACATATTTTAGTTAAAAATTGTCGGAGCTTAGATTTTTACAGGTGAAGGAGAAAATGGAAGTGAAAAACACTACCTTGAAGAAGAATAAGGATTAATCCTGTGTCTCTGCTTTTTCTTCCCGGAAATCGGGATACCTTCGGGACTGTAAGCTGAAATGGATAGGAGGAAGAAGAAAGAAAGAAACCTAAACCCTGCGAAAAACTCCGATTTCTTATAAATAAATCACAGCATGCAGTATAATCCGTTGTAGTCTAGTTGGTCAGGATATTCGGCTCTCACCCGAAAGACCCGGGTTCAAGTCCCGGCAACGGAAACCTTTTTATTCTTTAAACCACTCTTCCGGTTTTATTGTTTAGGTTATATTTTGTGCCCGGCAGGCAACAATTCCGATGTCGTCTAGTTGGTTAGATATTCGGCTTTCACCCTAAACCACCGGGTTCAAGTCCCGGCAACGACATTTATTTTTTTTATTTTTTTGACTTTCTCTCCTTTAAACTTCACCAATTATGTTTTGTTTTGTCTTCTTTTTTAATTACTTTGTAGATGTTTGAGTAAGTTGTAAACTGTGCTGTTAATTTTTAAAGTATTATTAAAATAGTTATTGACTAAAAGTGATATTATTCTAAAATTATTTGATGTTTGGTACAAATAGTAGAAAAAGCTTTGTTATTTCTGAAAAATATAAATTGTGTTTGGTAAAATTAGTTTTTGAAATTTTAAATGTTATTTTTTAAAAACTGTACATTATAATTTTTGACTTTGAATATATAAAAAATATATTTTAATTTTGAGTATTATCAAAAATACTTTGTATTTTATTAGTTAGTTATAAAAATATTTTTGAAACATAAAAACTGCAGCTAAAAATTATAATAAGTATATTTTTTATCAGTGATAATATAATATCATTATTTATAATTGAATAAATAATAGCTAATCGATAATAATTACATAATATTTTTTATTTAAATTTAATAAAAAAAATATGTATATGGTTTAAGTATACAATATATTAAATAAGTATTTTTGTTTTGATGGACAAATAATTATTTCTCTATATATTAGATGGGAGCCTTAAATCATGCATCCATGACCATGAACACTTCTTGAGTTTGTCATTTACTTAGCTTTACATTCTTGGGAAAGTTAATAATGGGAGTTGGTTGATTGATACATTCTTTTAAGTGATATACACTGCACCCTTGAGCTATATCATCATTCAGCGTTACATAACCAATATGTTTTTCTATTTTTACATTAATTGCTGTAAAACTATTCATCGCCAACAATATAAACTCAAATACTATTAATATTCTACTTAACATATCTATTTTAAAAAATTTTTAAATCAATTTTATAAGTTTTAATTTTTTTATTCACTAAGTTTGATGATGTTATACCAATATTTTGCTATATATGAGTTTTTATATATATTGATTATGAGATAAATAAATACTTTCCATATATTAATTTAATATATCCAATTTAATCTAATGCAATCGCTGTAAAATATAAAAAACATGTAAGGATAGTATTTGATATATTTTGAGTTTATCCTTTTATACACCTAATTAACTATTTTGTGAAGTAATTTTTTATAAGTAAATAAGTTATTTTTTATATATATATATATTTTTTTACTTATCTTTGCCCCCACTACTTGTTAAAATTATATATTCATCTAGCTCATAATTAGAGTACGAGTATTTTTTTTTTATAGTACTTAATTGTCAATTTTTAATTAGATCACACTTATTCACTTGTAAAATGATTCCTATGCTTTATGACGGGCCTAATATTAATTATGAAACTATATAATTTTAAAATTATGTAAGTTCGAAGTATTTTCAAAAATTTAGGAGTTGTTTATATTACCTAAGATTGTTTTTATAGCGTGCATATTATCTCGAGATTTAAAAATATTTATAAAACTTGGAGCGTTGTTCTAAAATCTAGTTATTCTTCTGTTATTTAGAATTGTCCATCCATAGTTTATTTTTTTAGAAATATAACATTAATGATATGTTTCATTTTTAGTATACTAAATAACAAATAATACATTATTTCATTTTGCATTATTATTTTAATATTATATTATGATATTTGTTAATTATTCAACAAGTTTACTAAATATTTTTTTAAATTACAAAACACCGTTTTAATATAAAATATGAAATAATTTAATAATACATTTGTAAAGTAAACAAATATTTATGCTCGAAGTCAACAATATTCAAGCATATATATATGTGTTTATAGAAAGCAAAACTTTAATTAAGCTAAAGAAAGGCATGCAATAATTACTAAAACTGCTCCTTAGTTCACATAATCACCATTTGAGACGTCTTTTTTTTTTTTTTTTGAGAACATTTGGAAGTTACAGATTTTCACAAAGGAAGAGGAAAACGAAAACTAATGAAAAATAAAACTTAATTGACTGGAGATTCCGCGGTCAACTGTAGTCTAGTTAGTTAGGATACTCGGCTCTCACCCGAGAGACCCGGGTTCAAGTCCCGGCAATGGAATTTTCTTTATAATTTTTGATATGTCATGAAAGGAAATTTGGTAAAAAGCTTCTTCAACGTTTCTTAGTGCTCCGAAAATGTTATCTCCTTGTTTGTCATCTTCTATTCTCTCCCCCAAAATGTTATATTTGCCTTGTTCTTTTACTGAAGCATATTTCAAAAGCTAGACATAGAATTTTCAACTTTTGTAAACTTTACTATGTTTTTTATGCAATTTGTCATTCACTAAAATTTAACTAAAAATTTTAACAGATAGTATGTGGGATTAACATATTAATTAAGTTATTATGTTGTTCGATGGACATACAAACGATCACATGATTAATTGTGGAATTGGTTTTAATGGGAACAGAAAAACACACGGCCACCACCAAGGGCTTTGGGGAAGCAGGCGGCGGCATTAAGAATGTCATCAGATACATCAGCCTTTACAGGCTTCAAGTTTATAGGAGCACATAACACCCTTTATGATCACAGCGGAAGGCACTACTTCAAAGACTGTTATACTTGGAAATGGTCTCTCCCTCTATAAAGACTGCCACTTGCATGTCACTACCGAACAGCCATGGGGCCTTTGACTGCCCAGATGAGAGACACCTTTCTTCAGCAAACTGGCTTCTCCTTTCTTAACTGTAAGGTCAATGGCTCAGGTGCACTTTTAACTCGGAGGGGGTGGGGCACTTTCTCAAGGGTTGTCTTTGCTTACACTTTTGTGGACAAGATTATTGTACCAAAAGGATGATATAATTGAGGAGACAAACAGAGAAATGTCCCACCTCTCTCTCTTTCCCTATCTACTTATCTGTCTATCCATCTATATTTTTTTTACATCTCTGTCTATCTTCAGATATTAGTATTTCCTAATATTCTACTATTTATAATTGCAGTTAGTTATACATACATAATTAGGTAGACAAAAGGATGATAATATATGTTTTACAGGACTGTGTTTTGTGGTCAGTACAAGTGCTGAGGAACAGGGGCAGATTTTGAAGGGTGAGTGTCAGTGGTCTAGGGAGCTCACTCTGACAAGAGGCAGGACCATTTATTTCAATCAACTTCATTGACGGCTACGAATGGCTTCCTTAACCACCGCTTAACAATAAAGAGTATCCGTTCTCAACAGAAGTACCAATATCATATTACACTTCCCTGAATTCTTCATAGAAAGAAAAACAAAGCTGTAAAATCATGAGCTGGAGATTAAACCTTTCCGAAACCTGCCTAATTGAGTTCACACAGACTATTTACTGGTCGAGCAAGAAAGATACATGATGAGACATGAGGGACCAAATTCACAGCATAATAAATTCAACAAATCATTAGAGCTTAACACGTAGATTTCAGATGAATATGCTGTGCTGCACATCAACCATTTTAAGTTGCATATATATTAGATGAGCTAAGTCCTTATATGTACAACATAGATAAACTGTACATGAACTATACAATTTATCAGCGTGTCAAACCAGCCATGATATCAACACGGCACACTCCGAGCCTTCCACAAAGACTGTACAGATCCACATGCTACAGGCAAATGTGGGCATAAGCATTGCCAACTGCTGAGGCAAATCCTGAAAAATTAGACCATCAAGAAGAAGTTTTTAAACCCTTTTTATTTTTAAATACCCATAGCAAAATCTTGAATCACATTGTAGCCAGGCAAGTGAAGATCACCTCAAGACAGGAAAAGTTTATAGTGCTTCTGAGTCCATTCTATTCAATTAATTTTGGACAAATGAACCCTAAGAGCCAATTGACCCTAGGTATCCGTGGAGGCACCCAGTAATTATCAGTGGGCTAGAATTAGTCTATCATTTAGTGCTGATATCCCTGCTGTATATTTGGAAAGTTCCTGGTTATGCTCTTTTGTATCAGTGCCATTTCTCCCTAACATTCTTTTGAGACTATCTAGTAATTAGATGATATCACTAGATATAGGACAAATTAGAGATTAGTTTCCCTTCTTAGGAATCTGGGTTAAACTGAAGAATTCTTAGATACCACATCTACGAAATTACAATTCAGGACAATGGATAGAATACTAAGAGTTGGACATACAATTCCTAAGTATCACATCTAAGTTGAGGATTTTGATTGTATCACACAATCATGTGGAGCAAGTCTTTTGAGAAACTTTTCCACACTTGCACTAAATGATGGCTGATATCTCAAATGAGAAATTACCAAGATATTTATAGAAAACTTAATCCTACAAACATAAGCATGACGAGAAGTCCTAAGAGAAAATTTAAAAAAAAAAATGAAAACATGTCCCAAAAGAACTGCTGTAAAAGAATAAGTAAAAGCAATAAAACCACTCTCCTAATTATGCTTCTGGCATGCTCCATCAAACTGAACTAGAGCAAAGGATGGACATTAGCAACATACCAAACAATCATCATGACTGAAAGAGAGTCACAGTAGCAATATAACCATTCTTCATCACCTGCAAGTAACAGAGAAAATCTTCCTTAGCAACCTCATACAGATGATAAAACCAAACGTCAGCAACATCAGCATTGCAACTGATAGAAATAAGATAACAAATTGTCAACATCTAACCTCAAATGCAACATTTTGATAACCATACACAAATGTCGACCCAAAAGGATTGCTTGAAGAACCCTGTGTTTGGATAGCTGCTCGGCCACAATCCCCAAGAATCTCCTTCGATGACAAGTGGTTCAGCATCATAAGACAATGGTCAAGCCATTAAAATTGAAAAAACATTAGTAAAACACACAGAAAATTCCAAATGCAAAAGTAATCATCAACAGCATAAACATTCCTCAATCAAATCATACATAAGCATAAACAAACGATCTCACCTTAACTTGCTCCCATTTCGTCCCCGGTGTAATCCTATTTTTGTAATTACTTGCTTCAATAAAAGACTCTTTAACTGTAGGGTAAAAAAGATAAGATAGTCAATAAGTTCATTATTATTTTGATATAAAATAATTGAGGAATTTGTATTCTAATAATACTTTAAGAAACTTTCCAAAACAGGAATTACTTACAGTCATTATCAAGAATAACAAAATTGCACTTTATGTATGAATTGAAATCAGCATGTCCAGGATAGTTTGTGTGTAAAACAAACTTTTTAACTTTATGAGTCTGCAAAACCAAGATTGTCGCACAAAGATCATACTTTTGAAAGAATAACCAGATAAGACAAGTGCATTCTCGACGATAGAGACAACGAGAAACAACAATCACTTCTGTTTGGAAAGGATAAGGAAGAAAGAATTAGTGAAATACCTGCCCATCAAATAAGATGTCCAAACCACGAGTAAAATAGTTATAGAAGTAATCGCCACAAAGAGTTGTCCGCGGCCGAGGGTCCGAGGCAGAGTGAATAATCATTTGATCTACCTGAACAGCTTAGAACAATCAGTGGAAAATATATTAAAACTACAAACTAATGTTAAACATTTCTATTAGACTTTTTATTGTCAACCTCTTTTATATTCAATTAGCAGAGATCAACAACAGCGACAACCACAAACCAGACTAATAAGTTAAAATAACATTTAAGAGCCATACTCCCCTTTTCAAATATAGGCATAAGATAACATATATATGAGAATGTATTTTGTATGTGTATCTTGTTGATAAGATAAAGATACTGAAAGCATTGTAAATATGCATCCTGTTCTGTTTTCATTTTTCTGTCAAAAAAATAAATTGTTCTTCATTAAATTTCTTTTTTTGAAATATAAAGTGTGAAATGTATTAATATGCAGCACTTGGAGAGGGTGCCGATCCTTGTACAAAGTATTTACAAATCAATTAAAGTATCAGTGAGATCCCCTAGATCCCCATGGAGTTTAGATGATGACCCAATAATAAAAAGCAAGTGCCTAGAACCATCTCCTTTTAATCAAATTGAAATCATTAACCACATCTAAAGTTTTCAAAAACTCTCCGGTTCTTCTCTTTCCAAACCGCCCAAAATAAGGTGAATGGAATGAGGTTAGCTTGTTTCCTCCTCCCACTAGTACTCTTCCATAGGCAAGTATGGTTCCAGTGCCATGATAAAATCATTATGACATTTTCTAAAACACGTAGAATCCCCTTCTATCAACCGATTATATCAAGCTAGTTACTAAGAAATAGTCCCATGTTTAAAAAGAGAAGGTAAAGGAACAAATACTCCCTTTCACA